GTTGCTATATAAATCATATCTCATTCATCTTTCTTCTCATTAGTTTTTACTTAACAGCAAATTAGAAGTGTTTCTCACTCTTCTCCCTTCAGTAAGTTTGCGTTAATCTCATTTTCTCAGTTATTTTTTGGAATTTGCTTTTACACCCCCCTCCCGCTATTAAAAACCTACTGCCATCAAATTGATTTCTTAGGACAGAGTAGAACTTTCCCGTAAGGTTTCCAAGGCTATAAATCTTTACGGAAGCAGACTGCCACATCTTTCTCCCGCAGAGCAGCTGGTGGGTTTGAACCACTGACCTTTCAGTTAGCAACCGAGTGCTTTAACCACTGTGCCACCAGGGTTCCTTGCTATTAAAGCCTTGTCTCTTCTATTGTGACTCAGTTCTCTTTCGGGACTAGCTTAGGCAGTTACCTCATCTCTTACAGTGACCTTGCCTCAAAATCTGGAGTCGTCTATAAGCCTTAAATGTGACCTAGAGGAGCACAGGCTTTTTTTTAAAGTCACCTCATTGTTTTATCGTATGTTCTTGTTTCCACTGCACATCTTTCTCTTGTTTTATGATCTTCTTCCTAGATACGGGGACATGAGAAAGGAAATCGGCTTTAGAATCCGGGACATGTGGTATAACCTGGGTGAGTGTATAACCTTGAACAGGCCCGAGTACAACTCTTGTGTAACAAACAACCCACAACAAATTCCTTTTTATTTCAATTTAAATAACCCTGGGATTTATTTTTCTACATGCCTGGGTGTGAAAATACAGTATTTCTAAAATTAATTTGTAGGTTTCATACTCTCATCTCAGTGGGGACATTTGCAATGAGCTGTTTCTTATTATGGCACTCACATGTTATCAGAATACACTAGTTAGTCACTGATGTCTGAATTGAGCTGATGTATACACCTGAACTTTTTCTTTTCTTATGGTCCCTGTGGGAGGAAGATTGTAACAATTTTCAGTGAAATTATTTTTTAATATCCTCATTTACTTTCATTTCAGGTCCCCACAAAATCAAATTCATCCCATCCATGGTGGGTCCCATTCTGGAGGTCACTCTGACCCCCGAAGTAGAGCTCCGAAAAGCCACAATCCCCATTTTCTTTGATATGATGCAGTGTGAGTTCAATTTCAGTGGAAATGGCAATTTCCATATGGTAAGGAATGGTAGACCCTGTAATCTGATTAATGCATATATTGTTCACTCTTATTTATAGTCTTTCTCATGTGGAAGCAGTAGCTTGAATAATACAGGTCAAGTAATAATACAAATAGTACAAATCAAAAGGTAATCCAAGAACTCATTTTATATTTTGTTTTTTAAAACAATTAGAAATATACTCAGATTTGCCGACCCAGGACCCGGAAGAGATTTGTTTATTTTTCTACATTTCTTTTCTAAAACAACACTGTCTGGATAATTAAAAGCTGATTTCATGCATTTTAATCCTATTCACTGCAGTATAGCTGAGAGAATCATGCAGTGGACTGAGGAAAAATCCTGTCTGTGGCAGCACAGCTGAGGGAAGGATGCAGTGAGTTAAGGTCTAATTTGTCATTGTCTAGCTTTGAGAACCCAGTTTGCCTGCTGTGTCTTGTCCATACCTCTGTTTACTTATCCACAAAGTGCAATACTATTGAAAGGAAGATTTTGTGGATATGAAGCTTGGCAAAAGCAATCCCATTGCCAAGACTAAGACAAGAAACAAAAATAAGATGGAAAATTAGAATCATTAAGGTATTTTTATATGCATAGTTGCAACAGAAAAAATACAGAAATAGTGTTTTGGATAATTTTTTCTTTGACAAATATAAAGCAAAGGACAAAGAACATAAAACTCCTTTAAAAAATTCTATAGGTCCTTGGGGCACTATTAATAAATGACGTGAAGTATGATCTTCCTTTCTGTTTGTTGGAAACAGTTCGCAATTTAATAGAGGGGTTTGGTTCGAATCTAGAAGTAACAGGTCTGCTTCTGAGAATCCCGTATTCTCCTGTGAAATTCTAACTCTGCTTTCAGTTTGAGAATGAATTGATTACAAAGCTGGACCAAGAGGTAGAAGGGGGCAAAGGAGATGAACAATACAAAGTTCTTCTGGAAAAACTGTGAGTATTTTAGTATTTAGAAGAATCTCAAGTTGACTGCATGATTTAGTAATAGAGAAACATAAGGTGTCTGTTGCTTTTACCAAGTAGTCAGAATCACTGGTGTCCTTACCACAAATGGTCCTTGGTGGGCTTACTGGAATTGCCACCATCCACTGTGGACATTTGTTTATCTGATGTGAATCAAGTGTCCATATTTTCCAAGCAAGTCTGGCCCTAGAGAACAGACCAGATGGAGGAGAGGGGACGTGGCATTCTGCCCAGCGTTTGGATTTCTGAACTACAACAAAAGTGCTAACACATCTAATTATGGCTTTGAAACAACACTTTAAAGGAGGAGGAAAAGACATTTCAAGGTCCATTTTACATTTAAAGAAAACCTTCTGCCCTATAAAGGATCCCTAAGAACAAACCAGTTGTACCTCCAGCCAGCTTAGTCTTCTCACTGCCCCGTCCTCAGATTCTGCATTTCATTCCTTTGTGCTCATGTTATCCCTACCCTTCACCTCCACAGACACTTACTGAACACCCTCTTGCCCTCTTAATTCTCCTTTGCACATGTGGAATAGTAGTCTTAACAGAGCGGTTAAAAACACTTTAGATGTTGGAGTTAGATTGAGCTTCCAGTCCTCTTTTCTCCACATACTAGATGTTTGACTTTGGGCAACTATTTTAACCGCTCCAGCACCTCATTTTTTGTTTTATTCATTTATTTTTTGTTTGTTTATAATAATAGTATCTTTATTTTGGTATTGTTGTAAGAATTAAATGAGATTATGCATTAATATAGTACCTGTTACAGTTTATCCTTAATAGATGTTGGCTGCTCTACTGTGTATGGTTGGTATTATTATTTTTCTTTACAAGGTCAGGGTTGTGACTACTCTAGACTATTGATTCCTTGTGTTCTCTGAACTTCTGTGGTGTTGTCCAGCAGTGTCACCTACTGGAGACTTGCCTAGAGTTGTTATTCACCCGTTCCATGTGGCTGGACTGCTTGAGGACAGGCACAAGATTTTTTTAAGAGTCCCTAAAGAACCACCACGAATGCTCAAAAATTGAATCAAATTGATGAATAGTTTGTATTTTAAAGAACCAGAAATTTTTCTTAATTTGTTTTTAATGATGAGAAGCCCTTTTGTTGCTCTTCTTATCCTGTTCCCATTAGGTTTGCCTATTTGAGCTCCAAAGTTGAGAAAATGTATAGCTTTCACAATTACGATTTCATAAAGGAATTAAATGGAGAAATTATACGTACGTAAAAACACAACATTTATAAGTGATAAACCTATTTTTTTTTAATCCTACCACTAGTTTTTGTTTTTTGCTTGAAGATCCTATTTTGTTTTCTTCCTTCTTCCTGGATCACTATCTCCAGAAAAATTTGAACAGATAAATCTCCAATGCCCAAGAATAATCCTAGAGTCTGGACTAATTCTTTGGATCCATTTCTTTCTTTTTTTCCTCTCCCTTTCTCTAAGTTTTCTTCTAATTATCTTAATCTAAGGAGTAGAAGAGCTTTCCTCTGTATGAGTCAAAAGGGAAAGATTTAGACCAAAAGTTTAGCTTCAGTCCGTTTATTAACAACTGCATTTTTATCTGAAAATAATGCTTTCACCTGAAGTGCAGAGCCACATGTACTGATGTATACTGTAGGTTCCTTTAGGCTGGGCATAAATGCCAGGCTTTAGGGAGAAGAAAGACATAAAAAAAATATGGTCTCTTACGACTTGACTAGAGTGAGCAGATAACATACACAAACTTCTTGAGCAAAGGCTCTCATTTCTGTGATATTGACTGAGAACAGAAACAGAAGTTCAAAGAAGGGCATTATAGGCTGGAATTATGGGTGATGGTGGGACTTGAACTAAACCTTAAAGAAAATGTAGAACATGAGTAAACAGAGAGGTGTAGCATAAGTACTGGTATGGGACAGGACATGAAGGGTGTGTATCAGTTTAATGACATCCTGTGGCATCTAATTTGGTTCCATTTGCTGCTGGAACCTTAGTCAGTGCTCATTGGTGATGCTAGAATGACAACACGGAACATAGGAGTCTATCTCTACTTCCCCCCCTCCAGGCTCCTGGAACATTGCCGGAAACATAAATACCTCTCCAGCTCTGGAGAAGTCTTTGCTCTCCTGGTTAGCAGCCTCTTGGAGAATCTGCTGGACTACAGAACCATTGTCATGCATGACGAGAGCAAGGAAAACCGCATGAGCTGTACTGTCAATGTGCTGGTATGTGTCCCAAGCCCCTGGGATGGCAAGAGAGTACCGCCAGGCTACCCCGAGACTCACAGCTCAGCTCTAGGCAGATCCGTAGACACGAAGGTACCCTGGGGTCACCTTTATGGATTCTGTGTCCTGCCGAGTCTCATTGGAACAGCTGACTCTGCTGTGGATTCACAGATACCAGCAGCCACAGACCTTTAGGTTGAATTAGGAAACAGGGATGGAAAGCACAGCCTAAGCTCCTGACTCACCTGTCTTTCTGAAGGCCATCCTCAGCTTGGTTTCTTAGTCTTGTTTGTATGCTGCAATGTTTCGTTTCTTAAATGATTAGACACAAACACATCTAGACCAAAATTACTATACCATGAGTGTAAGATGGAGTCCCTGGGTAAATGGTTAATGTTCTTTGTTGCTAACCAAAAGGTTGTAGGTTCAAGCCCACCCAGAGACACCTCAGAAGAAAGGCCTGGCGATCTACTTCCAAGAAATCAGCCATTGAAACCCTGTGGAGCCCAGTTCTACTGACACATGGGGTTGCCAAGAATCAGAGTTGACTCCACAGCAATTACTTTGTTTTGGGTTTTTTTTTTTTTTTTTTAAGAGTAGAAGGTTGGTGGGTGAACCCCTCGCTGTGTTAGAACTCTCTGATCTTGCCTTCCCTAGACATATGTTAAATGAGACCATAGATCTCAGAGGGTTAGGTGACCATGCATTCCTCTGCTTGATATAAACTAAGAAGCTACTGTTTCCCTTACTCCCATGCTCAGAAAACGGTGTATCTGGAAATTTGAGCATGAACCAGGTATCTATTTCCTTAGGCAGTTCCCCTCACATTTATCAGAAGCATGGTCCTGGAAAAATTCTTCAATTTATCTTCTTTATTACCCATTACTTTGTTTTCTTGTGGGTATAAAAAGAAATAATAAATAAATTCTTTGGAAATGTAGCACAGATGAAAAACAAAAGTAGTAGTTTGGCCATTTTTATGGCAATCTCATCAATAATCCTTGATTTATGTTGGTATTTTATGACTTTCTTTTTTTTTTGTAGAATTTTTACAAAGAGAAGAAGAGAGAGGACATATACATAAGGTAAGCAGAAGGAAATTTCTGCTTTTTCTGTTTATACTATGGCTTCATTATTTATTTCTCGGTAAACAAATACTCAGCCCTAACACCATGCTTGCTGCTTTGAGAGATGCCAAAAAGTGTGTGATATGCACCCTTTCCCCCCAAAGGGTAAACTCTTTAGAAAGGAGTATGAGGAAGCTCTCAAGTAGCATCATGTTGGGGTTCAGGGGAGGGATAGAAGACTTCTGGACAAGGTAGTCAGAAAAGGCTGCACAACAGAGAGGCATTAAAATTAGCCTTCAATTGAGATTCTTAGCCTGGGGTCTGTAAGTTACCTGAATATGAAACAAACACACATAAACTGTATGCATTTTCTTGGGCAGAGATTTCATAGCTTTCATTAGTTTCCCAAAGGGGTCTGTGAGCTAAAAAAATAATAATAAATTTAAACCCTTCCTTAAAGGAAGTGTAGAAAGTAGGAATAGATGGAGTATGAAAGACCCAGAGGCAGGAGACAACACACCATACTAAAGAAACAGGAAGTGTTGATGCAGTTCAGGGCCTGGTTGTACAGTGAGCTGAATGCTAGATCCAACTCCCCAGCACTGAAATTGCCTCCTTTGTCCGCTTCTCAATAGATATTTGTACAAGCTTCGGGATTTACATCGAGACTGTGAGAACTACACAGAAGCTGCTTACACGCTTCTCTTACATGCTGAGCTTCTACAGGTAAGTGGATCAGGGTGTTGATTTCAACAGCGTGAAGAACAATGTGCCGTATGTCAACTGTTGATTCCTTTGGAACTAAATCCTATACACTTTATGATTTTGACAAGAAAGATCCTTAGTCAAGGGAGATCCTTTTATCCAAGGATATTTTTATACCTTCTAAATAGACACGGCTAGTTTTCAGATGAAGGTTGGAAAAATGTCAGTTATCGTGTATTTAAGGAAACTTTGGAAGCAGAGCACAAGTTACATGCCTCCAGTAATTTACACTCTAATTGAAGAAATAAACTAACAGATTAATAAATGAAACAAAATTTGTAAAAATGCAGAGAAATTTGTTGTAAATGAATATAGTACCACAGAAGTACTTCCCTATTTATACTCACTCCCTAAGTAAAATTATCTTGTTCTTTGGCTATAAATACTCCTATAGGGTACAAATCCCAAATAAGTATTTGTAGCCCTAACCAATCTCTAACTTTAGATTCAGTATAAACTGCTTTTTGACATCGATCACTGGATATCTATTAGACAGCTCAAATTTAACATGTCAGTAACAGAAACCTGTATTTCCCACCCTTCTCCCTCTCCCCAAACCCATTCTCTACCTCCCTATTCTTTCTGTTTCACTAAATGGCACCACCATCTATACAGTTGCTCAGGCAAATACCTTGGAGTTATCCTTGATTCCCCTCTATCATTTATCCCTTTACATTCTCCACGAGCAAGAATTGTGGATCCTCTTTCCAAAACTTGTCCTTAGTCTATCCATGCGTTGTGCGCAGAAAGCTATTACGTTTGCTGTGTCTGGTTACATCCGATATATCTCATCCTCCGATCAAGATTTCTGAACTCTATTATAACCTTATGAGACCACGGACGTGTATGCAGTTGGATGTTGCCCGAATAGATGTTACGCAGCTCATGACTGTACACATAAATTGTCCTAAATCTTATAAATAAAAACAAGAGTCTTCTTCCTGAATGCTTCCCAGAAGCACTCACAATACACTCACAATTCATATTCAAGATTGGGGTGCTAAAAAGCTTACTGTATTTGGGGGACGGAGAGGGATAGGACCTGTTGACTGTGAATTTCACTATAAGATGATCTGAAAGAGACCCCAGTGCCGGTAATTAGAGGTCTTTTTTTACTTGAACTGCTCAGAGAATTAAACTCTCCTATCCTGGTGTAAGGTATGAGGTATGGATCTACCTTTTTCCCCCAGATAGCTACTCAGTGGCATGAGATATCTTCTTTATCATGTACTAAATTCCTGTATTTGAGGGGATTCTATTTCTAGATTTTATATGCTATTGCATGGGTCTTTATTTATTCATGTACTAGTACCACATTGTTGGAATTATTAATTTTTTATAGTATGTTTTATGATTTGATACTTACTCCTCATTACTCTAGTTTTTCAGGTATTCCCACATATTTTTTTTGTTTCTTTTTTTTATATGAACTTTGTAATCATGAAATTTTAAAATTGATTTAGTGAAAATTTTCATGTTATGAAATAGTTTTCTTATCCAAAATCATGGCATGACTTTACATTTGTTCAAGTCTGCTTTTGTGCCCTTCAAGGTGTTTTAAAGTTTTCCGTGTATGAGTCTTGCTTATTCCTTATTATATTAACTTAAATATTTTATGTTTTTGGATTTATTTTTGTTGGGATCTTATTTTTCCTGTCATCTGTGTATGATTTTTTCCTATCTATCAGAAAACTATTTATTTCTAAGTATATTGACTTTTTTTATCCCTCTACCTAACTTATCTTTCTGTTTGTAGTAGATTTTCATTTAACTCCCTTGGATAACAAGAAATATAATCATATTAGTTGCAGATAATAAGAGTTTTACCCCCTGCTTTTCATTTTTGTATTTCTAATTTCTTTTATCTGATAGTGTTAATAATACCTTCAATATAATAGTCATTTGGTTGATTTTCATGGGAATGCCTCTAGCGTTTCTCCATTAGGTTTGACACTTTTTTTGGAGCAGGTGTGTGTGTGTGATTTTTGTGTTTAATAAAATAAAAAATGAATGAGTCAAAGATATATATAAATATTTCCCTGATCTCTTTTGGCCAAATGTTTGTTATATTACTGTATCTCCTTTTGCTTTTGTTTGTTTTTTTAGTGGTCGGACAAACCCTGTGTACCCCATTTGCTTCAGAGGGACAGTTACTATGTTTATACCCAGCAAGAGCTTAAAGAGAAGCTGTATCAAGAAATCATAGCATATTTTGACAGAGGCAAAGTGAGTGTTGGGTTGTTTGTTTTTGTACTGAGGAAAGAGGAAAATGACTTATTTTTTTATTATTCCCTTGTGTGTCTTTGAATTCTGAACCTTTGATGGGAGAGAAAATGAATAGATAAATTAAGGTATGGAAGGTAATAAAGATCAGATACTTTGGGGACACTTAGCCTAAGGGAGAATAGAATGGGGAGCTCAGAGCCCCACTTTCAAGAACCATAATTTTACCTTTTAAATATTACTGGAGACCAGGAGCTGGTATCATAATCTTCCGTGCATCCTCAAGAGATTGTGGTTAGCACCTGGTCCACACCCTATACCCAAGCCACTACCTGACTGACACCATAGACTGTAGATAACAAGCAACCTAAATGCCAAAATTACCTTGCCAGAAGGTAAAATAAACACATGAACTGGACCAGGAAGTTGTGGGGTCTCTGGTCACCTGGAGAAAGCATTTCCAGCCGAAAGGGTAGACTGTCTCCTAGTTCTCTTATATAACTTAGCATTTGGTGAGCAAGAGGAGGGAACTCAGGAGGGCTACTTCACTTGATTACAACGATCCTGCTGTCTAGCTTCCTCCACCTCACCCAGCTCATCTGGATTGGTTTTCATATGGTACATCTTAGAGCCTTTATTAAAGTTTAGTGATCAAAGCCCTGAAATTTAAGAAGGGGAATATTATCAAATAATGATTGCAAAAGATTGTCAATTTAAAAATGTTTCATAATTGCATGTGGACTGCACATACTTTCCTTTCAGCAACCAGTAACAATGGAACATAGCACCTTATTAACAAGAATGAAATAGGAAATTACCAGATGCTGCATTTTTAATAATACCTATGTAACAGACATTTTGGAGTCCCTGGGTGGTGCAAACGGTTAACACCTCTGACTGCTAACCAAAAGGTTGGAGGTTCAATCCACCCAGAGGTGCCTCAGAAGAAAGTCCTGGTGATCTACTTCTGAAAAATTAGCCACTGAAAGTCCTGTGGAGCACAGTTCGACTCTGACACACATGGGGTCACCATGAGTCGGAATCAACTTAAACGACAACTGGTTTAAGAGACATTTTATGAAATACTAAAATGACTAGAGAGCTCAGTCTGGGATACTAGCCTCAGGCACCAGATATGTGCATTAGGCTATAACTTACATGGCCATAAATGCTATCAGGCCTTTCCTAAAATTGTTTCACTAAGAGAGCTTAGTGAACCTACAAGAGTTTAGGTAGAAATAGGAAACAATACCATATATGGAAAACGTAACAGTAGGGTTAGCCTCTTCTTCCATCTCCCCAAACAACACACACATCTCAGAACCAGAGTCCCATACCAAGTTCCTTTCCCTCCAGTAAGACATTCTCGCCCTCTGTGGACCTAGGCTTTAGAACTGGTTCTACTCCACATTCAGTTGTCTTTAGTGCATTGCCTCTAAACTCAACATTGCATTGTTTTGGGACACATAGTGTTCTTTATGTTCTTGAAGACACAATTCCAGGAAATTGCTCCCTGGTAAAACAGCCCAGATGTGGTGGCTTTATGTTGTCAGAAAAAAGGTTTCGTTGATTCATGAATGTAACAAGCCAGGAACATCCGCAGAAACTCGACCCACCTGACTACTTACTCATTCCCAGTGATTCTCTCAAATGGATTTTGCAGCTGGATCAATGGCTGCTTTGTTCTCCACTTCTAACCCTACTTTTCTTTTTCTGAAGATGTGGGAAAAGGCAATCAAACTGAGCAAAGAGTTGGCTGAGACTTACGAGAGCAAAGTATTTGACTACGAGGGCCTTGGCAATCTCCTGGTGAGTCTGGGTCAGTATGGGGGGAAGGGAGAGGGAATGTTAAGCTTCTAAAAAGGTTGCTAAAATTAGTGCTTATGAAAATATTCTTCCACGTTTAAACAAGTTAGTACCAACTATATTCTTTACAATGGAAAAGTAAACCTTGCTTGAAATAAAAAAAAAAAAAAAAAAAAAAAAGATGTAATCCAAAACGCTTATCATGATTTTTCCAGATTATCCGTGATAGAAGATTCAAGATTGTGGAATAGGCTTTCCCCAAAGGGGTGGTAGAATACTGAGCCTCAGAATAATAGTGACTTGGGTGAAGCTTTCAGCAGCAATCCTCAAAATCCCTCTCTGCAGCCCTTCTTCCTTTTCTGTGCCTTTTGTTTCTCTGTGGCCCCTCCATTTCCTGGCCCATCTCCTCTCCAACTTACTCTGCCTTTTGTTAACACCGTCCATATTTCAGATGTTCTCTGACATCTTCTGTTCATCAAAAGTTACTTGTTCTGTGGTCCACAGCCTTGTGGCCCTGCTAAGTGAATGAACTGCTTATCTTTGAGCCTTGGTTTATTTTTCTAAGAGTGCTGCCAATGTGCACGTCTTGTAAAATGCTTCTGCTAGATTCTGGTTTTTTTTTTTTTGGCCTTCTCCCAGTTTCCACTGAACCATCCTTTTACAATTCCCTGAACTTGTGTATTACACATAGCTGTAGGCTCAGGTCAGCTATTTAAAAACAAAACAAAAATGGCCTTCTAAATGCCAGTTGGTAGGCAAAAACACAATATTACATTTGATAATTTTTAGTAAAGAAGTCATAAAAGGTCAGGGTCTCCCATTGTCATGTAATAATTTATTTGAGGGGATATTTGCCAAGATGACTTTGAAGAAAATAACCAATGCACTGTACCAGCTCTTGCCATCACAAAAAAATTCTCGTATTAATTTCATAAACTAAATTGAGCTGAGATGTTAATAATGTAAAATAGTCCCTGCCAAGAAAACATTTTGACAATGAACTTCACCCAGATCGATTAGTAAAATAGGCATGCTAAGCATTGTGAAGTTACCAAGAATTTCATTTTGCTTGGATCCACAATCAACAGCCAGGAATGCAGCAGTCAAGAATCAAACGACTATATTGCATTGGGCACATCTGCTGCAAAAGACCTCTTTAAAGTGTTAAAAAGCAAAGATGTCACCTTGAGGACTAAGGTGTGCCTCACTCAAGCTGTATTTTCAGTTGGTTCATATGCATATGAAAGCTGGAAAATAAGGAAGACCAAAGAAGGATCGAGGCCATTGAATTACGGTGTTGGCAAATAATACCGAATATACCATGGACTGCCAGAAGAACGAACAAATCTGCCTTGGAAGAAGTACAGCTAGAATGCTCCTTAAAGCAAGGATGGCAAGACTTTGTCTCACATACTTTGGACGTGTTATCAGGAGAGACCAGTCCCTGGGGAAGGACAACATGATTGGTAAAGTAGAGGGACAGTGAAAAAGAGGAAGACTCTCAACAAGAGGGATAGACACAGTGGCTGCAACAGTGGGTTCAAGCATAACAATGATTATGAGGACCTGGCAGTGTTTTGTTGTGTTGTACTAGGGTTGCTGTGAATTGGAACCAGCTCAACAATACCTAACAACAACAACTATTATGAGAAGACTTTGGGAGGGGTTTAGGGGCATCCCTCAAAACCTCCAAGGTACTGTCTACCTATCTTGCTTTCAAGGCTGGCTCTAACTATGAGCCCTAGCTGGAAAGCCACCCCTCTTGTAAAGAATTGGAGATAGGGATATGTCATGAATTGAATTGTGTCCCCCAGAAATAAATCTGTCAACTTGGCTAGGTCATGATTCCCAGTATTGTATGATTGTCCAACATTTTGTCATCTGATGTGATTTCCCGTTATAAGTCCTATCTCTGATGTTGATGAGATGGGATTTGTGGCAGTTGTATAAACTCAATCTACAAGATTAATCTACAATTTAGTGCAATCTCTTTTGAGATATAAAAGAGAGAAGCAAGCAGAGAGATGGGGAACCTTCATACCACCAGGAAAGCAGTGCCAGAAGCACAGTGTGTGCTTTGGACCTGGAGTTCCTGCAAGGAGAAGCTCCTGGTCCAGGGGAAGGTTGATGACAAGGACCTTCCTCTGGAGCCAATAGAGAGAGAAAGGCTTCCCCTGGAGTTGACACCCTAAGTTTGGACTTGTAGCCTACTAGACTATGAGAGAATAAATTTCTCTTTGTTGAAGCCATCCACTTGTGGTATTTCTGTTATAGCAGCACTAGATGACTAAGACAGATTTGTACCAAATATTGAAAAACAAAACATCACCACCACCTCTGGGCACTTGCAGCTGAACCAGTGACTTTAATCCAGACCACCCGTGTGAATGGGAAAGTTCTTTTCTTATCCGGTGTTTCTCTGGTTAAGGGCAGCCACCTTCCATGAACCTCAGAAAGTGCTTCCAATCTTATCCTTTTAGGGGTCCTGAACCTCCTTGGAGAAACTGGTGAAAGCTCTGCACAGAAGAGCACACATGAACATCATTCTACACATGCTTTCAGGGACTCACAGACCCTCCAAGGTTGCTTTGTGGACCCCAGGTCCAGAACCTCTGATCCAAGGAAGGGATAACACATCTGCCCATAAGACATTTTCCAAAGACTTTTTATTTTCCATGTTACACTGGAAACAGCAAAGCAAAGAGTCTGACCTTTCTTTCCTCAACAGAGTCCTTGTAACCTTCCAATGGAATGTCTTATTTTTGGTTTTCAGAAAAAAAGAGCCTCGTTTTATGAGAACATCATTAAGGCAATGAGGCCTCAGCCTGAATACTTTGCTGTTGGTTACTACGGACAGGGCTTTCCTTCCTTCCTGCGGGTAAGAAATCTGAGGGTGGTCCACAAAGCCATTAAGCCATGTTGTCTTAAGGAGGAAATGTATTCATCTCTTTTCCAGATGGGCAGCAGTGTATGAGCAGCTGCCGACCCGTGTTCTCACTGTGGGAGGTTTGGGAGGGAAACCACTTCCTGTGCTGCCGGACTCGCCCCTTCTCCTCACCCCACACCCCCAGACACCACTGATACTTTGGCAGACCTTTAATAAAATGACTTTTCCCTGGTGGGATGAAAAGGGAACAACAGAACCACCCCTCCGCTAGTCTGCTGCTGCAGGTCAAGCTGAGGAAAATTGTGGACTGATGTATTTAGTTGTGTATCTTGTTTCCAGCCAGAGCTAATTTGAGAGCAAATATCCTAAGGACAAGACCAGAAGAGTTTCACTAAAGTAATAGTAGTTTTGTTTTAACAGTGAAAAGAAGGATGATTTTTTTTTTGCTTAAAAATTTCTATAATGTAATATTAATTTTACAATAAAAAAAATTAAAAAGAGATACAGTGCTAATTATAATCAAACATAGTCCCTGCCCTTATGGATTTTGCAGCCTAATGGGGGAGATGTTAATGAAATAATCATATAAACAAGTGTAAAATTGAAACTGTGACAAGAAAGGCATTAGGTGCTATAAGAGTCTATAATTAGGCAGTATTTGCCCAAGTGAAATAAAAAACTATGGTTCACACAAAAACTTCTTGTATGTGAATGTTTATAGCAGCTTTATTCATAGTCACCAAAGACTGCATATAACCTAAATGTCCCCCAACTGGTGAAAAGTAAATTTAAAAAAAAAAAACAACAAAAAACAGTTGCCATCGAGTTGATTCCAACTCACGGTGACCCCAGGTGTGTCAGAGTAGAAATGTGCTCCATAGGCTTTTCAGTGGCTCATTTTTCGGACGTACATCATGAAGTATAAATAAACTGTGGTATATCCACAGAATACTACTCAGTAATAATAAGCTGTGAACTCCTGATATACACCCATATGGATGACTCTCAAATGCATTATGCTAAGTGAAAGAAGTTAGAAGGTTACACATTCTGTAATTTTATTTATATGACATTCTTGCCAAGGCAACACTATAAAGACAGAAAATAGATAAGTGGTTGTCTGGGAATGGGGGACAGGTTGGGCTACAAAAGGGCATGGGGAAATTTTTGGCAGTGATGAAACTATTCTGTATCTTGATTGTAGTCATGGTTACATTTGTTGAAACTCCTAAAAACATACACTAAACAAGGTAAATTTTACTGTATGCAACTTATACCTTCGTTGCTTTAAAAAAAAAAGTTATGAAAGACTTCTAGGAACTTTATACTTCAGCTGCAGTCTGAAAAGTGAGCTGAGAGTTGAGGTAAAGTGGACAGGAGAGAGTATTCCAGGCAGAAGAAACAGCATGCAAAAGCATGGCAAATGCCTGGAAATGAAAGCAGGCCAGAGCAGCTGGAAGAGAGAGAGCTGGGCTGTCTTGTCTGCATCCTGAGAGCAGTGCGGAGCCTGCTGGGAAGATCGTCTGACTTTGGTATGGAGGATGGATGGGAAGTGTGTATAGATAGACTACTAAGAGACTGCTGCAGGTATCTGGGTAAGAAATGACAGCTGGACTAGTGGTGGCTTTAGACATAAGTGGAAAGATTAGAGTGATTAAGTCAACAGCATTTGATGATCGATTGGATAACTGGGAGAGGAAGAAGGAGGGGTCATGAATGATTCCTAGGTTCCTGGCCTGTGTAATTGGAGGGCCAGGGGCTCCGTCACTAAGACAACAGTACTGGGAAAGGACAGCGCCATGGAGGAGAGAATGAATCCATTCACTGAATAAGTATTTACTGAGATCCTATTACTGTGTGTGCTGTACTGGAGGCAGAGTTCAAAACAAACCAATGAACCAATGTCCTTAAAATTATGGAGCTTATATTCTAACTTGGAGGGCTAGATAAAAAGTAGCTAGTTCAGATTACCAAAAAAAAAAGTAAAATAGTATATCAGATGGCATAGAACAGTACCTCATTTAATGTAGACACTCAGTAAGTATTGTGGAGAAAAATGAATCAGGAAAGATAGGCAGAGGTGGGAAATAGAGTAACAATTTTAAAAAGAACAAACAGGAAAGACTTCAATGAGAAAGTGACAATTGAGCAAAAGTCTAAAAAAAGAGAAAACAACCCATTAGCTATCTAGAGGACAATGAGGGTATCAGATAGTGAGATCAAGAGATTCAGAGGCCGTGAAGCTAGAGAAGGATGAACAAGAAGGCATGTAGGAGAATGGGGATCAGAGAAGTAATGGGACCAGATTACACAGGGCCTTTGAGATCTTTTTTAGTTGTTTATAAAAGTCTGGCTTTGGACATACTCAGTGTGAGGTAAATTTGGAACATCCAAAAGATGTTAGTAAGCAATTTGATAATGTGGGTCTGGAACTCAAAGGAAAGTTCTAGGCTGGGGTTAGAAATTAGTGACTTTACATGTACTTAAAACTATGGCTGTGGATGAGATGGCCTAGAGAGAGAGAATAGAAGAAGGGAAATACAGGGTCTATGAGGAGGCTTGTAGAAGTTTCTGTCTTAGCTTTGCTATTAATCTGGGTATCCTAATCAAGCTAAGATGATAATTATGCCTACCCTACTTGTTATATTTAGGAACCCTGGTGGCACAATGACTAAGTGCTCAGCTGGTAAGTGAAAGATTGGTGGTTCAAACCCACCCACCAGCTCTGTGGGAGAAAGACCTAGCAATCTGGTCTCCTAAAGATTACAACCTAGAAAACCCTATGGAGCAGTTCTGCCCTATCACATGGGGTCGCTATGAGTTGGAATCAACTCAACGGCACTAAACAACAACAACTTTTTATATAGGAATCTCTGGGTGGTACAAATGGTTAAGCACTCAGCTACTATCTGAAAGGTTGGTGGTTTAAATTCACCCAGAGGCACCTCAGAAGAAAGGCCTCGCAGTCTACTTCTAAAGAATCATAGCCATTGAAAACCCAATGGAGCACAGTTCTACTATGAAACACATGGGGCCACCATGAGTCAGAATCAACTTGGCAACAACTGTTTGTTTTTGTTTTTTTTTTTTACCTGTTATATATGACTATTGTATCATCTTAAATAACAGAAAGGAAGTAGAAGACAGCAGTGGTTCAGTGAAAACAAGAACACTAGACTTTCAAGTTGAAAGAATTGAAGTGTAAATCATCTGCTGAGTGCTTTGTGATCTTGCCTAAATCTCATAACTACTAAGTCTTGGTTTTCTTACCCATAAGTTAGATAAATAATGCCACATCACAGGGTTGTTTTGAGAATTAAATAAATAGCTTTATAAACTGTAGTTTGTAGATGTTTCGTGTTGTTAAAGTGTACTGAAAAATATGAAATCCTAATTAACTCTGTGTTCTAAATGCTCTTCCATATTATAGACTATTTCTTAAAACTCAGAATATATAAAATGATGTTATCTTCCTCCTACCTCCAAGCCAGGTCTCCTTCTCTTCTCTCTTTCTATCAATGGCACCATTGCCCTTCCTACTACATTCTCAGAATCAGTTGACTCCGCTTTTCCTTTGCCATTCACATACAGTCAAACACCAAATCCGGTTACTTCTCTTTTTCCTGCTCAGAACTGACTCTGATCCCTTCAGCGGATGTATACTCCATTCTCATGTTATGTTATCTAAAGGACTTCTTTCATCATACTCTCCCTCACTCCAGAACCTCCAGTGATTCCCAAGCCTTTGAAACCTCTGAGTGTCTCTCAAGGCATTTCATACTGTGGCCCTTCCTACCAGCCCAAGCTTATTTCTTCTACCTGAACGCTGTACTTTATGCCCGTAGGCCTTATTCTTTCTTTCATTTCTCATACCTGGTGTCCTCTCTCCTTTTCTTTACCTCCCCTTGTCCTGTCCATCCATCTAGGCCTAACTCCCATGTCTTCCTTGAAGCCTTCTCTTTCCAGCCAAGTTCATACTTGACTGTTTTCTGATTCCTTTCACAATTATTGTCTGTATCATATAATTAGCGTTTTATTACACTGTGATCCCTTGTCAACCACAGTTTTGCCTCAGTGATGGAATTTCATAATGCCTGAATCAGTCACATAGATCTTTCCCAGCTTGAAAAATTTTTATGATCTATTGCAAAAGATCTGGCAATTTTTACTGCCTTTAGTGTTTTGTCCTCTCAGAGCTTATGCTATCTAAAATTATCAAGTTTATGTATGTGTTTACTTGTTTTTTATTTCCTTCCACTAAAAAGTAAGATTTTTGAGAGCAGGGTATCTCTCGAGTCTAGCGTATCTACTATTTGGTAAAAAAAAAAAAAAAAAAAAATTTAATAAGATTTTATCGTGGTAAAATATATATAACAAAACATTTGCCATTTTAACAGTTTTGAAGTGTGCAAATCAGTGATGTTTATTACATTCATCATGTTGTACAACCGTCACCACTATCCATTTTCAAATGTTTTTCTTTACCCTAAACAGAAACTCAATACTCCTTATCAATAAATATTTGTGATATGAATGGACAAGTGATTTTTCTTGGATAAGTGATTTTTAAAAACATATAAGAACACATATGTATAATTTAAAAATGAACGTGTGAGGCTGTCAGTACAAACTGGTCATCTACAGTGACAATCAGATGAGCAGATGCCTTCAGAACAGGGCTAAGTTTGTACTTGCACAGGCGACAGCCACTATGAGACAAACTACTCCCATGCCTGGGGCCTGGGAAATTTCTTCAACGCCATTTGTTAAAAGAAAAAAAGAAATCCAATTTTATTCAAGAGAAAATGCTGCATTTTGGAATGAAGGAAATTGTATTTAATGTAGTTATTTTCTTTTAAACTGATACCATTCACAGTGATTTTCAGGATTAGCTACGGATTGCTGTAAACTATTGGCTACCTGTGCCGTGCCATGCCGTTACTATATCGCTATGTCTGAAGACACATGGATTCTGTTCTTAGTATCATGCTCTCTAAGACAGTGCCATTCCAAGTGCTGGTCCATAAACTGGATCATAATGAGATGAGGAGCTTGTACCCAAACATAAATTAATGTCCTGCCTTCTCATCGAGAAAGTCTCACTATGAAAAAAATATCAGCATGAATTAAATGCATGCCCAGAGATGTAGTTGATTTCCTTGCAGATCAGTACAGGCCATTTGCAGACTGGCTGTGGTCCACAGACCACACTGTGAGTAGCCTGTTATAGGTATTTTATAAGTCTATGACTTAACTCCACAAATAAACCACAAGCCCTTGTCAAGGATCAGGTATGATAGTTGTTGCTGGGCAGGTGGTAGATACTCAGTGAGACTTGTTGGTGGATTAAACTTGGACTGGGGAGAAGTGGCTTCCTCAGGACCAAGGTCTCCAGTTGCCCCTTCCCTCTTCATATTTAACTGTTACACTTTCTGTCTGTGACCTGCAGAATAAAATCTTCATCTACCGGGGGAAGGAGTATGAGAGACGAGAAGACTTCAGCCTGAGGTTACTGACCCAGTTCCCCAGTGCCGAGAAGATGACCAGCACCACGCCCCCTGGAGATGACATCAAGTCCTCCCCAAAACAGTGTATCCTTGCCAAGGGGAAACATGGCCTGAGGTCTGGAACCTGGTAGAGCACCAGCCAAACCAGAGAAGCTAAGGAGTACAGTCCCTTTTCTGCATGCAGATACGTCCTGTGTCCTCAGATCACTCATGTAACCACTCTGACTCAGTGTACCATCCATTTTATGTTAAATCTTTGAACCCTGATGTCCTTAGCTGGTGGTTACGAAGTACAGTAAAACCTTTGAAAGATGGAACCTGTGTAAGGCGGAAACCTGTCCGAGAAGAAAAACACAAATATTTTCCACGAGTAGAGAGCGATAGAAAAGTGGTAAGACTGCACCCTGCCAAAGACAGGAAACTGACGAGGCTCAGGAAAACAAGGCAGACCTGTCGAGTCCCAAGCTCACAGGTTTCACTGTAATAATAGGCAAGAGATGATAAGCAAATCCTGAATATGAAAGGGTATATTTTGTAGTCATATGGGGAGCTTGAGGAACACATAGACTTCTTGTTCTGGATTCTGGATAAAGATACATAGCACTTTTTTGTAGTATATAATGATTTATTGAAACATCAATTACATGCTTAAAAAAAGAAAACTAACACTAATGGCTTCATTAGAAAGTTATTTTTAAAACTTTCTAATGTGTTTTATGCTAACATAAAGACCTTATGAAATTGAATGGTATTCTAAGAGAGGTAGATAGAAGACAAACAGCCATTGTTGCAAGGCTGTGGAGCCTGACTCCCTGGATAAAGAGTTCCATTTCTGCCGCTTGCTGTGTAACTTTCGACAAATTTCTTAATTTCTTTGTGCCTCGCTTTTCTCATCTATAAAACGGAAATGATGATAATTCTTCCTCCTAGAATTGTTGTAAAGATTAGGTGAGTAAATATATATAAAACACTTGGAACACTGCCAAGCACATAGTAAAAATTCAGTAAATTTGAACTTCGTATAGATAGAGATTGATAGATACCTATAGAGAAACAACTACAGATCAATAAAAAAGCACCTCTAAAGTGAGGAGTAGTAGTGACCTGTTAACAGCCAGTAGAGGCTTAGAGAAGAAGGGTCCTCCAAAATCATTTCTTTTTTGGGTTATAGAGATTCAGAAAACAACTGGGCATACTTAGTCAAAAATGTCCTGGAATTAATTAATAAGGCATTTTGGTAATTCATAAGGGAACAGCATTTGCAGTGCGGTCAGCGTTGGGATGAAAAGAAATGATTGGTAAAAGTGCCATTTCTGTCTGTGAAGCAGGAGAAACAGGTGGTGCTCTCTGCTTGCAAAGCCATTACAGCCCCAGCCCTGTCCCTTCCTTAACAATCTCCTCAGACATGCAGTGTTTTACCGTAAAGCCAGTGATGAGCCTGCCGCCCAGCTACAAAGACAAGCCAGTTCCTGAGCAGATCTTAAAGTAAGTGGTTTCTTTTTAAAACGTTTGTCTCCCTCACACTGTTCATCCAGGAGAACATCATTAGCAAAACCTTAAATGCATTACAATTTGCAAGACCTACTATTTATCCCATTTTGAGTGACATAAGAGCTTGGTGACTCAAAGGGATTTTTTATTTATTTTATTTTTTTATTTTTAGGTAGAGGGATATCAGGAATTTCAGTCCTAGGTGTCTGGCCCTCCGGCTCCTAATTCCACTGGGAAGCATTCACTGAATAGTGGCTGACCTCCCGTTGGCTGGTGAGGCCCCCAGTGGCATGATCCCTTCTCTTGAGAAGCTAGGAAGCTAGCAGGGTTGATAGAACTGATATAAAGCTCTATAATGAGATCACACGTGTAGACATAAATACATGTACCATTGTAAGTCAGGAATGTTTAAAATGTGAAATACAATCAAATTGTACAGTGCCTCAGACTTCCAACGTGAAGACTATGTCAGTTTTACGATAGCTTAATGGGCAAAATTCAGAATGTGGAAGATGAAATCAGAAGAGGGAGGGCTTACTCTGCGAGGAAATAACAGCATTGTTGCTTTGTCCTTCCCTAGCTACTACAGAGCCAATGAAGTGCAGCAGTTCAAATATTCCCGGCCATTCCGGAAAGGAGAAAAGGATCCAGACAATGAATTTGCTGTGAGTCTGCCCCTTTCACCCTCTAAGACAAGGTAAAATTGACATCTAAAATGGAGGCCTTATACCCAACCAGCCTATACAGCAGAACTGCTGGCAGCCCTAGCAGTAGAGGCTCCTTGTGGTTATTACCTAGACAGCAGTCTGTCATCTTGATGGAAAGCTCTGGACAAGAGTCCAGAAACTGGCTCTGCTCCTGGGCCTGCTGTTAACATGGCCTTTGGCAAGTCCCACCTCCCTAGACCTCAAGTTTTCCATCTGTAGAGAGTGAGAGGGTTTGAGTAGATGGTCCCTTTCAGCTTTAAACACCCCACATCCTTAAATTTTATGGGAATATTTGTCCCATTTATTAAGGAGGCATTTGGGAATAGAATCTCATTTAACTAAGCCAGGGAGTTTTGCTCTTTTGCCTGGGAACAAGATTTCACATTTTCTTTCCTTACACCAGACCATGTGGATTGAAAGGACGACGTATACGACTGCATATACCTTTCCTGGGATTCTCAAGTGGTTTGAAGTCAAACAGATTACAACAGTGAGTCATTTGAAATTGGAACTCAGAAGAATCTGTCTCCAAATATAATAACAGCCTTTGTTAAATTCCCCCACCAGTTCTCACTAGCTTAGCCAGTCTCTGGCCAACATCATTTTTCAAAAGGGAAATAAAAAACATGCTTGTATAATAGAACTCTTTATAAAACTGATGTTACAATACCAATCTTAAAGGTTACTCACAGTGAATGACTCCTTTAAGACCAAACGAGTGTTGTCTGCTCAACGATCCTGCCATTGTCCAAAAACATTTTTGGAATGCCTCTTT